CGGAATGTGGGCGAAATCAAAGCGTTGGCTGGATGTGATTTGCTGACGATTAGCCCGTCGCTGCTGAAGGAACTGGAGAACGACATCGATTCGGTGACAACATATTTGTCGGTGGACAATGCAAAGGTGCAGGACATCGAAAAGATTTCCGTGGACGAGAGCAAATTCCGTTGGCTGCTCAATGAAGATGCGATGGCAACTGATAAACTTTCCGAGGGCATTCGAAAGTTTGCAGTGGACACTGTGAAGCTGGAGAATTTGATCAAAAGTTACTTTAAGTAAGCACTTGGGCGTTCCCTGGTACCAGTTTCAAACCACATTGTAATGGGTGGAGGATGTAATATGTTAACAAAGACATATATTTTTCTACTTGAATAAAAACTTAAGTTTAGAAATAGCGTTTATGAGCTATTTCGCCATATAAACTACAAATGAACTACTGAGACGAGGCGCCCTTGAGTGCACTTAACAACACTGCACTTGCACAAATTCGATATACAGTTTAACGTATATGACTGTTGAAAATCAGCTCCCTTGCTAACAGGATATTATAAAATTAATAAGATTTGTGCAACAAAAGGATATAGCATAACGTATATATTGCCATTTGCCAAATTCAGAGTCGTTAATTGCACAAAAATACCGTGCTATCGGGTATTCCGATATTCCGAAACTACTGACAAAAAACATCGGCATTGTATCAATATATATTTAACATCCCATCCCTAGGTTGAATACATAAAATAAAAAATATAAAAAAAAGTGAGTTAGTGTGGTGTTAAAATGCATTTTTAGAGTGATAATTAATGCGATTGCAATCCAGGGCAGGTGGAAAATGTTTGGCCATTTCCGCCCATAGTCATAGTACGCTCCGCGACAGATACATCAAAGTATCTTTTTCTGCACCTCCGAAAGTTGCTCTGCTCTTCGATATCGTGTGCACCTTTTGCTTTTGCTCAGCCACCCAGGTTGCTCCCATGAATAAAAATGTTCGGTAATGCACGGTAAACAATAACGGAACATTTTGTGTACATGCAAATATACGCCTGTGACAATAAAATTCGCGCAATGATGTGATTAGCTGGCCGAGGTCCGACTCGACTTCCTTTCATCCTTAGACCCGAAATCAGTGAAAAATCGTTCGCGCATGAATTCAAAATACTATCAGATGGGTATAATATAGTTTCGTCTCCCAAAGTGTCAAAGAAATGGCAAATATTCTGGGCAGTACATACATATAGAGATATATGTACATACATTTATTTATGTACATCCATTCACACATGCAAACCGAGAACTTGTGTCTATATGCATATATATCCAAGCACATACATCTGCACATATGTACATATATATGAGTAGATACACAACGATGTGTACACATATCCGTCTAATATATGTACATATATATGTACCGCTTAGATCCCGATGAATTTATGCACATTTATTTACAATTAAATATTCTCGACTTTCGGCTGAAGTATGTATTTTGGGTGGACACCAATAATTAATAGATTAAACACTTCTACGCACACTCGTACATGCCTATGCGTGCATATAATGTGTATAGATATTCATATTCAAAGTAAAAGTTTAATCAAATTTTCGCCCATTTACATACATATATTTCGGCAAAAAAAAAAGATTCGCCCACTTGATGTGTATACAATAATATAGACATCGTACATACATACATGTGTACATATGTATGGGTTTTAACTGCCTTACGGGCCTGCAGATGAAATTATGTTGGTATCTCTATGTACATGCGTACCTGCACCTTTGTATGCGCAAAAATTCCACCCGCCCTCTGCTTCACCTGTTACACTGCCCTGATGTAAACGCTTGGTCCTGCTACTGCTGCTGATGGGGTGCTGGGCTGATGTATTCGAGTGAAATATTGTCACTTTTCTAAAATAGATTTCGAATGGCAGCGAGCAAACGCGCAACATAATTTTCGGAAACATTAAAGCCCTGCTTGAGCCACAGACATTCAATCCGTGACTCACATTATAAATTCGTGGGCAGGAATGTCTCGTAGATTCGTTTGTACACACACCTGCACATACACATAAGTATGTACACACGAATAGTACACAATAAGTAAACAAAAAAGAATATTCAGCTATGGTTTTGGATAGGAGTTGTGCAAAATTGATTGATTTCTAGCTTCCAAATATGATCCCTTACCATTAAGTTTACTCTGCGGAAACTAATTGAATTAATTTATATTTTGAATACCCTGAATTTCCATAGCTTTCGGCGCGTATCTCTCGAAGCTCTGAGCGACCGGTGGTGTTACTGAGATTGGGGAAGTGAACGATACAAAGGAAATTGTATATTGACTCGAAAACTCAGCTATACTGGAGCAGAACGGAGAAAATACAAGGGGTGCCGAGTCACCGTCCCCCGACGCCAACCAGGAAAATCGAGCGACGTGTTGGTGGACACCCTGGGCAGCAATGGGTTGCTTTGGGTCCCCCACCTCAAAGCAGTCCGATGTGAACTCGGAGGATTCAAAAAGTCAAAAGCGCCGGAGCGATGCAATATCTAGACAGTTGCAGAAAGATAAACAGCTCTATAGGGCCACACACAGGCTGCTCCTGTTGGGGGCCGGTGAGTCTGGTAAATCAACTATAGTCAAGCAAATGCGAATATTGCATGTCGACGGATTTTCTGAAACAGAGAAAAAACAGAAAATTGATGATATTAAAAAGAATATTCGAGACGCTATCTTGGTAAGTGCTAAACCCACCAAATGGTTTCTACTGTAACGTTTTGTTTTGTTACAACATAAGCTTCACTTACTTAACGATGATAAATACTTTTTCTTACAGACTATTACAGGAGCCATGAGTACACTTAATCCACCTGTAGCTTTAGAAAAGAAAGAAAATGAACCCAGAGTGGAATATATTCAGGATTATGCATCTAGTAAGATATCAGACTAGCCTTTAATGAAGCTAAAAATATAATTATATCCCATGCAAGATTATAGTCGAATAATAACCAAATGTTTAAAGTTCAAATATAACTCTCAATTCCTTTGTTTCCTTCTGCAGGTCCGGACTTTAATTATCCTCCTGAATTTTATGAGCATACCGAAGAACTATGGAAAGACAAGGGCGTTCTTCAAACCTATGAGAGATCAAATGAGTATCAATTAATTGACTGTGCGAAATAGTAAGTATCGAATTATAATCAACCATTTTTAAATGTTAAAATGTCGGATTAGAAATGCAATGTGTCATAAATGTATATTTCTTAATATGGGT